ATGTAGAAGTGGCACAGGGAAAGATTCTGCATGAATAGGGGTGGGACCTTTATCATAGTGTTTTGACTGGGCTGGGCGGAGCCAGGTATGCCAGCTAATTTTTCTCTAGGTGAAAGCTTGTAAAAACAAAAGCTAAATTTTACTTTCTATTATGAAATATCCTTATTCAGTGAAGGATCCATGGACCAAGACCAAGACGCTCCAGAGAAGGAGTACCTCTGTCAAACAGAGGTCACTTTAAGTTGGCTGGTACAGGCAATAGGTGACAAATTTGAAAAAACCTTCGAGGAAGAACCGCGATGGATTGTCGAACGATTAAATCGACCACAAATGGATGGTAGGTAGTCCAAGAATAGCGTGTGAATAGGAAGCACCCTTAAAAAAGATGTAGTCACTATCGTTTCTGTTTCAGAACTTGCAAACACAACAGTAATGCGGGTCACATTCGGTTGGGAAGATCCTGTCCTACCGAAGAACGTCATTGTCAAGACAATACCTTCCAAAGATCTTCGCGATGACGAGGATTCAAAGTTCGCTCTAACGAAATTCAAAAGGTGCTGACTTCTGAGAAGGTCCTCTGAAATTTTTCTTTCCATAATGGTTAGCTGTGGAGATTAGACGTAAGTTCAACCAGCAAAAAAATTTAGTAAGGTGACTTTGAGCGATGCAAGGTTGCGATAGCAGAACTTGCAAATGGAAAAAGTCTCATGTATAATATTAAACAGCAGTGCGTCACCTGTGCTTCGCAGAGGCTCGCACTGATCCTATTATCTATGTGCCTTCCTATGCCCTCTTGATGATGCTTGATGATGTGGAATCCACCGCTCGGTGCTGGCCATCACGAATAAATTGTAAAGAACCACTCGTTTCGTACTCTATTTCATGCAAGATTGGTAAATTTGAGAGGAAAAATCTTCCAAGAGAAGAAAAAAAGAATTTGAACTAGTTACTGGACGTACAGTCGAGTAGATTTCCGCTTAAAACAGTGTACTCGCACTACAGGTGAAATGCGGTAAAATTTG